TTGCCAGGAGTTCGTGATCGGGAATCACCAAGAGATGTACGAGTGAGTGTTGCTGACAACTCGACGATGAGGTCCAAATTGCAGAACGCCGTTCCCGCCCGGGCCGCTGCCAAGGCCGGATGTCATTCGTTACGTCAGGCCCGCAACACGAGAGAAGCCTTTGCTGGACGTTTGACCATCCGTTAAGAATAGCCAACTTCAACCCTTGATCCCACCCCACCAATACAACACGAGATGAGTTCCTACGTGTCCCAATACCCGCCGGCTGTTGAGTTCGACCCTGCATACAAGAAATTCTTCGAGGACTTCTACGCTACGTCCGATGCAGCAGAAGCGCATGAGGAATACGTCCAGTACTTCACTAAGGATGCAACCCTCGTCATGGCCTCCAAGAGGGTAGTAGGCCGGGAAGGTTTGTCGCATTGCTTTTTGTTTCCAGCCTTGCGAACGGCTCCCTGGAATTCCATCGCCCTTCCATAATCTACCGGGCTAATTCATGGGCGTAGAGATCTTAGCCCTGCGCAAAAGTATGTGGGAGAAAGTTTCAACGAGAACGCACAAGCCACTCCAAGTGTTTCCGTTCGGTCCGAAGTCAGACGAGGTCATGTTGTACGGGACGGTCAAGTACGGCTTCAAGGCAGGCGGAGAAGCCAGCAAAGATTGGGCTGCAAGGGCGCACCTAGTCAAGGAGGACGGTGGCAATGTGAAGATGAACTTCTATCAAGTCTACCTGGTGCGACACTCACCTCCTGTTCGCGTTCGTATATGTGGACTTCAAGCTAACCACGATGCTCAGGATACCGGAGCTTAGGATACCGGAGCTTAGACCAGGCAGGTAGATCTTATGTAGATCTACGATCGATTATAGGGGCTTTTCCGGCGCATGCAGTGTTTAAAACAACCGGCATACCGAGGTGACATTCACCGGTGCACTGTGAGCACTACTCCAGTGCTTACTTTGGTACGCTTTCAAACGAAGCGGTCTTCAGGAGAGGCCTCATATTCGGATCGGGCGGCGCAAGTACCGGGTCCACTTCACTCTGAAACACGCGCTGCGGGACCCCTCCGAACTATACAAAATTGTAAAGTGAACTGGAGATTAACGCATGGGGCTCTTCTTTACTATGCGGATGTGAGGGCCGCCATCAAGTAGACGATGGATCCCGGCCAGTCACTTGGTTGTCATAAAACCTTACGATTCACGTTGTACAACTCGACAGCCCAGATGCGAAAGTTCTAGATGACCTGTAGGTATCCCAGCACCGCCTCGTCTCAAAAATATCATGCAAATTATTTCGAGCGCTGCGATGAATCAGGGTCCTGCAGGGCCAAGTGTTGCTTTTTCCAACGTGGTGTTGCCCTGAACGTATTTCAGTTACACGTACATTGGTATTGCCCCTGGAACTACTGTTACGGAACATAAGAATTGCTTTTTCGTGCTCTTGTCCGTTTCCAACGCCCTGGATTTTCTTTACGACCTAAGGACCGACCTCAGCCACAAGTACGTCAACATGGGTGGGAATAGTTTGGTACTGCCGCAGTCTCGGCATGGCAACGCCACTCTGGGCGCAATGCCACGAACGTGGCCCAGATGCATCTAATGGATGGAGTCTTATGTACGAGTGCCGCGTAACGTTCTTCCAGAAGCCAGTCGGAGGCATAAGCAAAGCAGATGGGGCACCTCGTGTGGTGCACCGACGCCTCGTATCATCTGCAGCCGGCATACATGCTGGACCTAGACGTGTCTGCAACGACAGGTTTCGCGACCTCCGCAGCGTCGCCGAAGTCAGAATACCCCTCAATCGCAGCATACTCAAATACAACTCTCGTCCGGTGATGCGACCAGGCCAGGCTCCTTAGCTTTGCTGCTGTATGATGGATGTGGCATTGTGAAGCTGCTTGGTATCGTTCAGTCTCGACTTACGCCGCGGGGAAGCAGATAGATCGCAGATGTTCGCGTCACTCTCGCCATGTGATATCCCTGCTCGTAATCGTATTTGCATTCGTGTTGTGTCTTTGCTGACGGGTCGGCCGAAGACGACATCATTGATCTTGTTCTGTGGCTCCGAGGATGTCGCTAAGAATTTCGGGCATGTCGGGCTATAGTTCACCCACCAGCAAGTTTGTTGTCACCAAGCAACAGAACATGATGTAATTGATGACTACAAGGCTTGAGGTAATAAAGGGGTGAAGCGCATTCGTTTACAATCGTCTTTGTCAGAATCTGACCATGGAGTGCGGAGATGCAGGAATGTAAAGTTCGTGGGGCGGGGAAATTGAAAAGTCAAAATTCGCGGACGCAGGCGGCTCCCAGCACAACGCCCCGCATTCCCAAGTGTCATATTTGGATAGGCTTTGCAACAGGCTCTTCTACACTCGCTAAGATTATATCTGATCAAATTCTTGATGTCTCCATCAACAGGCTACAAACCAGCCCGGCTAGCTCAATCGGTAGAGCGTGAGACTCTTAGTCTTTCACGGTCTAACAGACACGATTACTCAGTACATCTCAAGGTTGTGGGTTCGACCCCCACGTCGGGCTTGAGAAGCTTTCCTTTTGCTCCTGGCATCGTGGGTAGCAGAATGATGGTCGTGGTGTTGGTGGAATGAACATGGCGATTTTTTTGGCCAGTGCCCCACCATCTTGCAAACCACCACTCAAAATCATCACCAGACACACAATATTTTTGCTACTAACCCATTCATAATGATAGCGTAGTCTAAGAGTGTCCCAAAACATTATTGTCTATATGCACACTGAGTTATTGGCCTAAATCCTTCCGCCTCACAAGTTGCACACACTATGGCTATCCAGGCAAAGTCCGCCGTACAGAGCTTTGTATGCAAGAAGAACAATGAACAACTACCTCCTAGACATCTGCATTAACCTGAAATTTGGTAAAGGACTGCTTTGACATCTATGTGTACGGTAGCACACCTCTGTTAAGCTGTTAGCACGAATAGAAAGATGTCTTAGTACTGCGTTGCTAAAGCATAGCAAGAGAGCTACATGTAGTAGAGTGTTTTAAAACTACGTTAGCAAAGCATAGCAAGGAAGCTATATACTAGTAATAAGTTAGCAACATATCCTAAAAGCTATTCGAGGCGGCTACTTTACCCTTGTTAGTCTTGTCTATAAGATGAGAGCAAGTTACATCGTACGCAAGTGACTTAGGGACACCAGTAGCAAAGAGCACTAGCATTAAGCTCATGACATCAGGAGATTATGCCGGAGTCAAATTCGAAGATAGATTAACTAAGAAATTACGGCCATGAAAATAGCTAAAAGCACAAGGCTATCGGTATCACACACTGACTAGACTCAGTAACCCAACCCAACCCAACCCACCACACCCATACCCCTCAAACAGTCTCTCCAACTACCCAATACTCTTACCACCCTCCCCACCACCATCTCCCCCCTCTTGACTCAAACAACTACTATCGTCCTTCTCCCCCGCCAACACCGGGATCGTCAACATCTCGCCCGCAAGAATCAAATTCGGGTCCTGGATGTTATTCGCCTTGACGATGTCGCATATACCGACTGCGTTCTCGGCTGCGATCTTCTCTAGTGTGTCGCCGGCGGCTACGGTGATTTGTTTGCTGCTGCCGGAGCTGGGGTCTGGAGATGTGGAGAGGGAGGGGGTGGGTGGTGTGGAGGTTGTTGCTGAGGCCGAGGGTGGGGCGGGTGGTGGTGGTGGTGGTGGTGGTGGTGGTGATACAGCCGGTGGTGGTGATACAGCCGGTGGTGGTGATACAGCCGGTGGTGGTGATGATTCGGGTGGTGGAGATACTGCGGATGGTGGTGGTACATAGGTGGAGGCGGGTGGTGGTGACACAGCTGGTGGTGGTGACACAGCTGGTGGTGGTGACGCAGCTGGTGGTGACGCGGATGATGCTGGTGGAGGCACAGCTGGTGGAGCCACAGAGGCAGAAGCAGATACAGAGGTTACCAGTGTCGTTGGTGCTGGGGCAGGAGGAGCGCCGGATACACTGCTGCTATGTTCGCAGCGGCCATGCCTGCGATGGATATGTGGGTGGACTGCAGCGGCTGTGCTTGACAACACGAGGGTTGAGAGCGTGAGAAGAATTGCTGAGGTCTTCATGGTTGTTGGTATCGTGATGCTGACTGAAGTTTGTAGGATGTTTCGAGGTGTGGTATGTGGGTTATGGTGTAGACAAGAAGACCTACCCAGTAGGTTTTATGTGTTTGAGGCTATGTCTACCTTGAATGAGTGAGGAGGTATATATGTATCGTCTTCAATAGGAACGCGCCTGTATATGTATTCTAATCGCTTCCCCATGGCCTGAGGCAAGAAACATTTACGTTCGAAAACGTGAACGAACGCTTCATTCATGAATGCGACAACGGCTCCAGAACAATGGAATGAATGATCTCCGTTAATGCTGGCGTACTGTCATTTCGATTCTACAGTGCAATGGAACGTTTTCTGTCACAGTGCGTTGGTGCTTAGCTGTCACTGTTTCGTAGATCAGGCGCTCTTTCATTTAGCAAAGGTCGTCCATACCATATTGCAACAGTACATCATGTCGCGAAATGCCGGCTTCTTCGTAGCTCAGCTTCATGGATCAGGTAAAGTGAAGTGTGAGGTCGATGGCGTGCAGATCTGCAATGTGATGGTGTCAAATAAACTGCATTGATGGTACGGACATGTGCCGACAAGTGAAGCGAGCCGTGATGGCCTGACGTGTAACACCTGTCAGTTGTCAGAGAAGACGCGAGCCACGCGTACCAAGCATCACCGAGTGTCTAAAACATGAAGGTATCGCAGTAAGATCATGATAAAAAGACTTCGACTTTCAACGTGTTGTGTGATTAGGATATGCTAGAGGACTGAAATACTGTACAGTGAAAGAACAGAATGCGCTCGCTAAAATGATGCGGTAAACAAACAATAACCAAAGGTGGCTCTAACTGAGCTCACTGAGTTGCAGAAACATCCAAGCATAAGTAACAGAATCAAAACAACAGGCATTCATGCGCCCAGCGCGATAAGCCTGCTCTTGATGTCCGTGGGCCTCATCGTCTGGTTGATGACAACACTGGAAATACTGCCCATGCTGACGACTGACACGTATCCTGGAGCAACTTCGCTGGCCAAAACCTCAACACACTTCATCGCCTCGTCTTTCGAAATTGGTGATCGGATAGAGCCTTGGATTGCCTGCAGAAGGGTGGTTGTGGAGAAGGAAACGCGCGATCCGGGCCTGTTCGCGCACAGTAGGGAGAGTACACCAATGACCTCTGGAGTGCGTTGTAAAGCTGCCTTTCGCTGGAGTTCGGCAGGTGTCGGCGCTGCGGGGCCAGCCTTTGCAGCTTCCTGCTTTGCGAGAATACGGTCGAGGAGATTGGTCTTGCGGACGGCAGCAAATTCGGTGATCTTGGGTTGGGCGGGCTGAGCTTGTTGGTTCTGGCCCATGGGCGTCTCGTTCTCCTTTCCGACAGAGGGTCTCGTCTTCTTCTGTGCACGGCCTTGCTGCACACTCTCCTTGAACTCCCTCAACCTCTTGCGTCCCTTCTCTTGTGCTGGCGCGAGTGCGGTGAGGGACTCGCATGTGGTGACTTCGGCGAGAGGAAGCTGGCTCAGGAATTTGGACATGGAAGTATCGTCGAGAAACGTGTCCATGCATGCCTGCTTGATATCGGCCTTCTTTGGGCGTCCCCGTCCACGCTTGGGCACCGCAATTGGTCGGCTCATCATCTTCTGCGAGGTGCACCATTGCGTCCATAGCGTGTCCAGGCCTTCTTTGAACATATCTTGCAATCCCTCTTCGTTCATGTGTGTCATGCCGTTCATCATCGGGCTGCTGTCCTTGATCTCGATGCAGACCTTGCCGCGGCCATAGTCTGATAGGTAGTAGGGGTTGTTGTTGCCGGAAGGGCCATGGTCGAGGATGCCGATGAGGAGTCGGATGTCATCGTACGTGACTTTACGTTGCCGCCAGACCAATGTCGTCGATGCAATTAGGTCTCGAAGATCGGCAGGCGTTGAAGTGCCATTGTGGGCGTAGTGCAGCGACAGCGCGGTCAGGAAGGAAGAGTGTAACGCGAGAAGGTTGACAAGCTCGGCCGGGAGCTGGCCAGGAGCAATGGGCGACATTGTTGATAGAATAGTGGAATGGATGCGACGATGAGATATCTGGAACAATGTCGATAAGTGATGTGTCGTGTGGGAGTGAGGTCGAGGTCCAAAGGAGTGTTTATGGGCCGAGGGGGCTGCAAAACAGGGAAGGCACGTTCGACGCGCTTTACGCTTCTGCGCGTTCGCGTCGCGTTTCCGCCCCACTTTAATGAAACTTGAACGTGTCGTTGCCCCACGCATCCGGCGTACTTTCAGCTCTCATTTGGCATTAGTATTATTTCCATCTTACTCATGACGCAGCGCGTGCAAGAATTGTCTTGTTCTCGAAGGAGTGGATCACGCAAAAGCAATGCCGTCGCGGCGCGTACCGTCGCCAGACCTTGTCACGTCCGTGCAACGAATAGAGAGCACTTGTGAGTATCGTATCGTATTGGGATGAGAAGAACTGCGCCTATATACTCCAATGCTCATGCAAGATCTTCAATAACAAGCTCCAGCTCGTCTTGTCGCATTATCATTACATTATTAGTCCTCTAAGTGTAGAGCTTACTTTCCGCCAAACAGTCCACCGAGCCATGATTGAGTCTTCGCGGCCTTCTCCTCGACGACGGCATCGAACTTGTTAGCGGCCGCGTTGACCTGCTTGCCTGCCTCGTGCATCTCGCGCTCAGCGCGGACCTTGGCCTCCTCGTACTGCTTCTTCGCATCGGCGCTGTAGGCATCGAACTTCTGCTCTGCCCTCTTCGCTTCCGCCTTAGCTTGGTCGGCCTAGCAGTGGTCAGCATACTGTTAAAAGTAAATCAAGTCGCATTGGACATACGTATTGCTGTGCGCTGGCGCGTACTGCCTCGTAACCCTCCTGGCCGGCCTTCTTGGCTTCCTTGTCCTGGCCAGGGTAGTCGCCTCTCAGCTTGCGTGCGGCAGTCGCAGCGTCATCTATACATGTTAGTCAAGATATTTTGAAAGTTGAATACCTCCACGACGTACGTTCAGCCTTCCTCTCGGCAAGCTTCGGGTCGCCTCCAGCGCTGTAGAGGTAGTAGGTGACACCACCAACAGCAGCGAGACCACCGTATGTAGCGAAACGACGAGACATGTTGATGTAATGGGGTTTTTGCGAGGTGGTATTGATTGGACTTGAAGCAAGATCAAGGTATGTGAGATTCGAATTGGAGATGTAGAATGAGAGTTGTGCGAGGGAGGGGAACCTTGGAAGGCGTCTTTCAAACAAGCGCATGTGTGACGTAATGGCAGACAGCTGCAGCACGGGCTTTTCAGTGCCGTGCGAACCAGATCACCAAACTAGGACTCTACCGAGCGCGACAAGCCGGATCCACATTGCATACACTCGTTGCTTTCGCTTCCACATGTTAATCATAATGTCATTATAGTATTCATCTTCGTCGCATCGCCGTCACACCTCGATCGTGCCTTCCCAGCGTGCTGCCTGCTGTGCGCGCCCCTTAAACCGTTCACCACAACAAGCCAGCCTCGAGCGACTGCCTGAGCGACTACCGCGCAGCGTGCCGTGCCTGCCTAACACAGCGACCTCATGTATCCACGATAGCAACGGCGTTTGCCTCTTACTCTCCTTGACACCTACACCACGCTTGTAGCATGGCGGACCAACAAATACACCTCGTCGACCACACCGACGGCGACTACACACCGACCTCGGCTACACAACCCGAACAGCGGTCAACCACATCGGACTCGCACATAGATATCCTCTACGAGAACCAACGCGGTTGGTTCGTCTTCGGCATTCCCCTCTTCTCGTCCAAAGCGCTATGGAACCTGCGAATCGACCCTGCGCCGTGGCAGGATGCCAAGTTCAAGCCTTCAGCAGTCAACATCACAAATGCACAAGTCCCGGACCCAAGTTGGGTATGGGACTGGAAGAGCTGGTATGTCGACATGAGTCTGGATGTCGATGAAGAGGGTTGGCAATACAGCCTGCTCTTCAAGGGCTCAGCGTGGCATGGCAACCACCCGTGGTTCCACAGCTTCGTTCGGCGGCGACGCTGGCTACGGAGGCGGGTCAAGCAGAGGCTGCCACCCAAGACCAAGAAGAATGCGAAGGAGCGCATGTTTGGCGAGACATTCAGCATCGGCACGACACTGGCTAGATCAGCCACCTTTGGCACTGGCAGCGGTCTATTGGACGACAGCGCACAGACGAGTCTAGACGAGGAGATTAGGGATATTGCGACATTGATGAGAAAACTCAAGGCAGCTGCCATTGACCGCGAGAAGATCATCTACATACATAAGTTCATCGACGATGGAGGGGAGGAGCTGCACTACCTCCCAGAACAGGTATGTATGTTGTATTCCCATGCAAACATAGCTAACAAGTGCAGATACCGTCCATCATGTCGATGCTCATCTTCCAGAATTCGCGCCGCCAACTCCTCTCCACACTTATGGACCGCTTCGAGGCCGCCAAAGACCACCGCGAACAACACAAGAAGGATCACAAGCCTGAAGGCGACGCCGAGGAACGCAGAATCAACAATTTGCTCAAGGCTATTGAAGCCGCGGATAACGAGTGTAAGAAGCTGGAGTATTGGAGCGATATCAAGAATCTGACAGAAGAGGGCAAAGCCGGGAATGCAACAGATCCCAGCATGGGGTGGGACGAAGAGAAGTGGCAGGGACTAGATGCGAGTGGCGCCAAGCATCCTGATACCTGAGTCTGAGAACTTGAGAAGGTTTGGATGCATGCATATATTGGAGTTTGTCAGAGTTCGTGGGGTGCGGCTCTTCAAGGTCAGCACATCGGGTCAATTGGAACGACTAATCAGTTTTCGTATTGTATCGCAACTATACATGCTATCGTCAGCAAGAGTATCCAGCCATACGGTGTTATATCATCCATTCACATTCCTCACTCTTATCGGCCCTCTGAGATCCGCCAAACTCTCCACGTCCACTACTGCGCCCTTCTGCATTACTTCGACTTCCCCAGCCTCTCTCTTTTCCCACACCATCTTTCGTACATCATCCATGGTGTCTCTCCACTCTGACGCGTCCAATGCACACAGCTCCTCTGTTGACAGTGCGCGGGCAATTTCGGAAGGACAGATCGTCTTGGGCCAAGCCCTTGAGCTCAATAGACGGTCGGCATGGCGCGATAGGATGGTCCTCTTGGCGTCATTAAGAGCCATATTGTTTGTGCAGCTGGCGAATACGTTGTGCCAGCTAACGGATTCGACGTGCCGATAATGCTTGGGTTGTTTCGCAGCGATATGGTGAGGCTGCACCGTCTCGATGGTTTCACCCAGATCTGGTTGCTAGACCCATCGCCCGCTGATCGACAACAGGGGTCCAAAGATCCTTAGCCAATCCTTTGACGTCAGAGCGCCCAATCGGCGCGCAGCAGAAGCAAAATAATTCGAGCATTTCAGCGTCGCGTCCCCTCCCTTCTAAAACCGAAACTGCCCGCAGCACTGGGATTGGCGTTTTGCCTTTGCGCGTCGTTTTTTCTTGTCCTGTCATGCCGCACCGGTTACCCCACGCTCTCCGAGAGCTAGTTGCAGCGGGGCAGTCCTTCGCTCCCGCCTCTCGTCTCTTATCAAGCTCAACACCGCTACTGCATACTTCTTCTCCGATATCTTCTCTACTCCATCAGACTTCCCTGCGTACCTGTCATACTGTACGGGCAGCATCGCTCTTGCAAGCATCCAAGTCACAGACAACTACCGCCAAACGAAACTTCTCCTGGCCCAGAATGACTGGAAAGGAAGAGCCAAAGGAGGTGCGGAAGTACCTCCAGCAGAGCCATGACCGCATCTTTGAAAACAACAAGAAATGGGCCGATGAGATGAGGAACAAAAACCCAGGCTTCTTCAAGGATCTGAGTGCAGGACAAGCACCCGAGTATCTATGGATTGGTGAGTTGCATATGGAATGACTCGATTGCCCTATAACACTACTCCATTATCACACCCACCACCTAGAACTTGCTAACCCAATGTCTACAGGTTGCTCCGACTCCCGCATCCCCGCCGAAGCCATCACCGGTCTCGAGCCAGGCGAGATGTTCATCCACCGCAACATTGCCAACCTCGTCAACAACATCGACCTCAACGTCATGTCCGTCGTCAACTACGCGGTCCGCCACCTCAAAGTTAAGCACATTGTCGTGTGCGGCCACTACGGCTGCGGTGGTGTCAAGGCCGCCATGACACCAAAGGACATGGGTCTGCTGAACCCCTGGCTCCGAAACATCCGCGACGTCTACAGACTGCACCAGAAGGAGCTCGACGATGTTATGGCCAACGGCGGCACAGAGGAGGAGAAGTACGATAAGCTTGTTGAGCTGAATGTGTACGAGCAGTGCCGGAATGTGGTCAAGACGGCGGCTGTGCAGCAGTGTTGGGCTGAGAACGAGTTCCCTGTCGTGCACGGCTGGGTCTTTGGATTCGGAGACGGGTTGTTGAAGGATCTCAAGTTCGACCATGAGGGCGAGCTTAAAGAGATTCAGAAGATTTACGATTTGACAAAGGACATGTAGATGGTGTCAGTGGGTGTGCGATGTATGAGTAGTTGTCGTGGCATTTAGCGAGGTGTTGGTGTAGGGGATGTGGAAGAGATGGTGCTGCAATCGGGCTTAGATGCTAACGTAGAGCTAGTTACCTGAATCTCCCCAGTACCTTTGTAGGTACCACATGGGTTTACACACTAGTCTTGCAGGCTCACGCCAATCCCTCCACGTCTCTTCACCGCAATCAAACCCCAGCGCCTTGCGTGAACGAGAATGAGTAAACGAGTACGACATGGACTGTTTCGCTTACGATGCCATTCATGCATGCTCTCCAAAGAGAACGACATAACCCGATCCAGGCCCACCTCCACTGTTTCCTCGAACACGATCACTGATCTCTGCCATCAACCCAACCTGTTGGTAACACCAATCAAGAATCTCGTTCCACCCGCTATCACAGCCCTCGAGCTGGCAAGCCAGCTCCTCCACAATCCTCCTCCCAGAATACTGCATCCACCACATATCCTCC